CCGGTGGAGCATCGGCTCGGGTCCACCTCGCAGTTCTCGTCCGACTCGTACAGAGCTTTGATGAACTCGCCTGCAGACACAGACGGACGAGGCATGAAGACAAACGGGCGAATCAAACCCCGCCCACACAGGAAACAGTTTTTTAAATTTACTGGACACGTCTTCCCTTCACACTCTTAACGTTTCATGAGTCGCTCATTCTTCCTGTTGTGAGGAGCCACCTGTCCCACTGCTGTTTCAGAGTGAAACGCAGCCAGGTCCAAACCAGTATGGATTTAAATATGAACTGGAGCGACTGGTTTCACCTTGCTGGCTCTCTCATTGAGAGCGAGGCCTTCACTGTCAGCAGAGAAACTCTGTATTTACAGCTTCCATCCTCGTTAATCTTTAACAAGTCGCCGTCTGAACCTGATGACTGTTTAACGGGCGACACGGCGCGATGACACGCCTCGGCGAGCGCGTGCTGCAAATTTGATGAGCTGAAAATACGACAATAAAAAGTCGCCGTGACAATCAAACGCCTTTAATCGATGGAACCTGCCGAGGAGGCAGGAACTTATTTCTATTTCCGGAGATGAAGCTATAAATATTTTAACGAGGGCGACGCTGCTCGTGTCTTTGAAGCGTCTCTCAGTAACAGTTTGAAGAAGCTTTATTGGTTTGTGATGACGGCGGGTCTCAGCGGGCCTCGTCTCTTCACAGCAGAGCAGAATCAGCCGCAGGAGGATGAGGATGATGCAGCAGAGCAAACACATGATTAAAAATAATTTAAAAACTCAGTCTGCTGACAAAATCTTCACCGACTTTCTTCTTCATGTGTTTTTTTTTTTTCGTGGCGTCAGCTTTACTGGCGAGGTGGCGTCTGCTCTGTGCAGCAGCTTTGCATGACTCACAGTTCATAATAATCCTCCTTTATCTGACACCAGGACTCTGTACAGCTCCTCAGTTTATCCTGTCTGAAACAAGCAGCTTTAGCTCCTCCTCCTTTAAACCAACTTTCAGAAACGGCGGGTGGGCGTGGCTTCTGAGATTACTATAGAAGGATACCTCATGTCTATGACATCATACGAATCCAAGAGTACAAAAAACTGTGTGAAACTGCACGTTTAGTCAGAGGAGCTGCTCATAACTCTGATTCATTGATTAGATGCTAATTAATTATCAATAGAGCTGATTATCGTTTTTAAGACCTCTGAGACTAGATTTGAGTCTTTGGGTCCAACAACAGTTTAAAAATTCACAGGATAAACAAGGTGACTCCGCCCACCAGACGGCAGGTTACAGGTGTGCGTACGGTCATGTCCACAGGTGTGTGTACGGTCGCGTGCACAGGTGTGTGTACGGTCGCGTGCGCAGGTGTGCGTACGGTCGCGTGCGCAGGTGTGCGTACGGTCGTGCGCACAGGCGTGTGTACGGTCGCGTGCACAGGCGTGTGTACGGTCGTGCGCACAGGCGTGTGTGCGGTCGCGTGCACAGGTGTGTGCGAGGCTCACCGAGCGCGTCGTGCAGGTATTTCTGTCCCACCAGCTTCAGATACTCCTCGATGGCCTTGGTGGCGAGCGTGTTCTCCCTGAAGATCAGGACGTCGTGGTCGGCGCATCGATCCACCTCTGACATCACCAGGTCTGTCAGGAAGTCCTGAGGAAGAAGAGGCGGAGATGAAGAGGGCGCCATCATAGTTACAGCATTGGTGCATTTACAAACGCTGCAGCCTCGTCTGTGATCCATGAAATGAGCTCCACTGATCGACTCTGTTAATGTTAAAGAAGTAATCGAGTAAATGTGCATATGGATCATTTATGGATCATTTATGGATCATTTATGGATCATTTACTGAATCTGAACGGATCTACTGGGATCATCGAGGATGGGAATCCTCCGACAGCATTTATGGAGACGCCGTCGTGTTTGGGGCCGATTTTCTGCTGTTATGCTGATATTCAGGAACCCGTGTGAAGGCGGGTCCAGAGCGAGCGCTACCTGCAGTTTAAACCTCTGGGCCGACATGTTTAGCTAACAGGAAGTCAAATGTCAGCGTGGCTGATTCTGACCTTTGCCCTGCCCGTGCTCTGCAGGATGTGCACCAGCGCGCACGCCATCTCCTCCTTGTTCTTCACGCTGATGACGGGCTCGAGCACCGAGCACAGCATGGTGTAGTTGTTGGTGACGAACTCGGCGAACTCCTTGTACTGCTCCATGGGCAGGATGGAGATGGTCTGGAAGCGCGACTTGATGCGGATCGACGGCCCGCCGCCTTTGCCCTTGCTGGTGGTGGGCGTGCTCACCGGGTACCACTTCTCCACGAACTGCCGGCCCGTCACGCTCGCCACGGGGATGTTGACCAGGCCCACGTAGTTGTTCTTGTCCTTTTTCTTCTTCTTGTCCACGTCGCGGTAGATGTGCACGGTGATGCTGTGCACGCCGGGCAGGCTGGAGAAGTCGAAGTACTCGCCCCAGAACAGGCTGTCGTGGCGGGTCTTGCTGGTGGTCCGGGCGTACAGGACGTCGTCCAGACACAGCTCGCAGAAATATTTCTTCTTAGGCGGCAGGTCTTTGGCTTCGATGATCCAGAGTCGCAGCAGGTTCTCGGCGCGCCGGCAGTTGTCCTGCGAACGCAAAAACACCGTTTGTTAAACTGCACAAACTAACGGGCTGCAACTGCAGTTCCTCTGATGGCCACTAGAGGCATTACAGCAGGAATATTTCCCCTTCACAAAAACTCATGGGTGCAGCAGGACAGGAAGTCGGCGTTGACCTGAACAAACTCAAACAAACCTTGTTGGGCTGAATCGTCCTCCTCAGGTTCTCCATCCACTTGTCTCTCTCTGACGCCGACGTGCAGCTGAAACACTTGCTGCCGCCTGAGTACGTCACCTGACGGGTGAGACAGAGAGGGAGGGTCATTGAAACGACCAGGGGTGACTACTTACAGGTACCTGCTCAAAACATATCTGCTCTTTTCTAGATCTTTATTTATTCTTCAGCGCTCAAAGAACCAAACTCATCGTTTATCAGTTTTGTGGAGTTACATCAGCAACGAGCAGCATGGATCCACTTCAGGAGCGTCGGTAAAAACGAGCGCTGCCTTCCAACACACAACAATTAATTTGTTAATCTTCAGATTGAACTGAAGCAGACATCGCCTCACCTCGAAGCAGAACTCCTGTCCCAGGATGCTGCTGTGCAGCGGCTTGATGAACACGTCCTCCTCCATGCTCAGGTCCAGAGCCTCCACCGCGCTGCCCGGGCTCAGCAAGGACTCATGGGAGCTCGACTCCTTCAGCTTGGGAAGCACGCGCGATCTGGAAGACAGGAAGGAGATGGAAAGGTAAACGGATGTTAGGGCGAGTT